CCACATGATACCAAAGGAAAAAAGTAAACACCGAACCAGCCACAGATCCTCTATCTATTAATAGTGTTCTGCCTTCAGGAACCAGGAAATCCTGTAGAAGGGAAGGCAGGAAGAGTGTAAGAGCCAGAGGAGACGAAGACACCGTGAAAACAAGGCTCTCTAGATCAACGGGATCAACAAACATATAAGCATGCAGAGACCGAACCAGCATGTGAAGGACCTGCACATGTCTTTCCCAGTTTAGGACCTAGACCTGAGAGGAGAAGTGGACACATGCTCCCAACCCTATCTTGGAATCTACCTACAACTGGTAATCGCTTGCAATTGAAACCTTAGTTTCCTCCAAGGATGCCTCACTAGGGAAGCAAGCTACTCTTAAGGAAAGGCAGAAGCCCCAGCAGTGATGGCCAACTGACATGAACTCAAAGGCTTCTTTGGAGTTTCATTGTCTCATAATGTCATATTAGAGCTCTTTTCCTAATCCTAATGTGTTAGTTTTTTTTTTTAACCTGTCTTCTCATCTTATAATATATTCCTGTAGAAGTCTGTTGTTTTCTAATCATAGACAAAAAGATGGTGGATTCGGGATAAGAGGGGAGGTGGGGGAGAGATTACAGTGAAGACATTTGTGAACCAGACTTAGAAAAATAGGAACTCCAGTGGCTAGAAAAAGCCAGCCTCTTAACTTGATAAAAATAACAAAAGTTTATCAAATAAGAAAATTTAAAAAAATCATCAGAAAAATAAAGTTTTTTTTTAAAAATGTATTTAAAACAATACATTTTAAAACAGAAAACAAGTGTATTAAAATTTCAGAGAGCTCTTTCAGAACTAAAAGCAAAGAATATCAAACAGCAATCTGAATACAGAAAAAAAGGGCATGAATAAAATGACATAAATTGTAAGAGAAAGGTATGTGGTCAATGAGCTCCAAATGTGAATCTGTGTCAATCCCCATCATGTGCATTGACAAGATTTCTTTTTCTTCTTAGTGATCACTGATGTTTAAAACCATGGATATCCATCACTATAAGAAGCAGCTAAGTGTGCCTATCACACAATATTTAGTAGAGGGAATTTTTAGGACAATAGAGGAGTATATAAGTCACTATTTTTATATCTTATCTAACACAAAAATTATACTTGTGTCTAGGTTAAGGAAATAATTCCATGATTTAAACTGCTTTATGACCTAGAATAAGTATTATGTTAGCAATAATATTAGTACAAAAGTGAAAAAATAATCTTATATGACAATGCTTCAGCTCTTAAAAAGAATAAGACAGACATTCATAAACCAGCAACCATCACAGCATATTCTAATAATATATTAAGTCAAAACGGGTGATAGAACAGTATTTAAGTATAGAGAGTATGATCCCATTAAATATTAAGAGACATCAACAGCTATGTATATAAAAACTATACATGTACTAAGCTGGCTAGTTTTATATCAGCACAACACAAGCAATTGTCATCTGAGAGGCGGGAACCTCAATTAAGATAATGCCTTCAGAAAACAGGGCTGTAAGCAAACAAGCCAGTGGAGCATTGTTTTTTTTAAATTACTTATTGATGTGTAATGAGTCAGTCTATTGTGAGTGGTGCCACTCCTGTGATGGTGGACTTGGGTTCTACAGGAAAGTTGGCTGAGCAAGCTATGAGGAACAAACTAATAAGCCACCCTCCTTGGTGACTTCTGCATCAGCTCTTGGCTACAGATTCCTGCCCTATTGGAATTCCTGCTTTGGCTTTCCTAAAATGACCGTAATCCAGTATATGTAATCCAAATAAACACTTTCCTCCCAAAGTTGTTTTTGGCCCTGGTACTTTATCACAGAAATAGAAACCCCAATGAATACAGGCACACACACACACACACACACACACACACAAAAAAAAAAAAAAAAAAAAAAAAAAAAATCGATGTTTCAGTGCTTTGCATATTTAATAATAAAAGTTGTAATTTGGAAAGGCTGTTTCCATATTGAAAAATCAATGATGGAATTTTTTCTAATTATATTTAACTACATTTGTATAATGGTTTCTAGGAAATGAAACTTGCAAGCTCAAATATAACCTGGGTTCTGAAGAGTTGGTATAAAATCTCTGTACAGTTTGTATGTAAGAATGCCTTCTTGTCTTTTCAGAAACTTCAAAAGACTTCTGAAAAGTTCACTAGAACTTCTCCCACATAGGATTGTCATCCAGTGACTAGCATCACCACATGGGAGGAGGAGGCAGGAAGTGATACAGTCTTTCATGTGCTGCAGTTAGTTCTCAATCTCAATCTCTTCAATCCTCTTGCCTGCTTTGAATTTTTTGACTTAAAAAGGGAAGTTTGCTCAAGCCACTGTCACCCTTTTTGGATGAGGTGAAGTCTTTGTTTCTTGTCAATATTTCTAAGAAATCATTCTGAACTCCAAATCATGTTTAAAATGTTGCCTTTTAATAAAATAAATGTTGCCTTAAATAAAAATAAATAAATTTTTATTTAAATGAAAAAGAATCTTATTTTCCATACCAATCCCAGTTCCTTCTCCCTCCTGTCCTCCCCTCCCCCCACTGACACCCTCTCCCATAGACAGTCATCCCGGATTGAGATCAGCGCATTCATGGCGACTGTATAGGAATGGTAGGTATGTAGAGTTCTAGAAACATGTATTGTATGCTTGCCTCTGAATATGTGTTGAAAGTTCATATGAATATAGATATACAAGCTGTTCCTGTCTATACTTAAGTGTTGTAGCAAATATGTGTGTACACACACACACACACACACACACACACACACACACACACACATACACACACACGTATGTATATATGTTCCCGTATATGTTCTGTACAAATACAAAGAATGGATATCTAAAAATACAGTTCCTTTAAAAGGAGGAAAATGTTTGGACTTCTCATTTGCAGAAAGTAATGTGGATAATGGGGTCTAGTCACAGCGCTCCCCTACTGCAGACTCACTGTGACCCCCAGCAGAATCAGTTCTGAGATCACATCACAGGACTACCAGATTTCAGGACAAATGTATACATGTGGTCTGAGATTATAGTCTAAATTTTGATAAATAGATTTCATACAATAAAGTACTTATTTAAATCTGTTAAGAGATAAAAATGTTAATTTAGTAGTATAATACAACAAAATTGTTTCTTCTAACTGCTTCATTTCTTCCCCAAACTAAAAATTCAAATATAAGTGTACAGCAGAAATACACGTATAGTTTAAAAATAGCTGAACTTAGTCTAATACTGAAATTTGCACAATACTAAAAATTTGAAAACTTAGATGTTCAGTCCATTATCACTGTAATTCATGATATGCTTCCCTTAGCATGCTACAAAAATTTGTAAGTCTGAGAAGAATAGAAAACCAGTGCATGGTTTACCTCAAAACTCTGCTATATTCCATACTTATTTTTCCTGTATCCTCCTTCCCATTTGCTTGTATATGTCCAGGTAAAAAAATGATATAAAACATGAATGATTTCAGAAAGTTCAAATGCACAAAAGAACAGGTTGTCTCTAGTACTTTCACATATAATGTCCTCTATGTAATGACCAAGCAATTATAATTAAATGGTAGTAAACAATTTTATTTTAAATGAATAAAACAAAAGAGATAGACTATGGCTATAAATTAGATACATATTTATAAGTTTGTATTAAGGATTCTATTTTAATGCCATTTATCTTATACTGTGTGGCATGGCGGCACAAACAGAAAAATGTAAAGAAAGACGTTTCTGATTAGACAGAAAGCAAAAACACAGTTACATCTCACCAATCAACAGAGCACAAAGACAGTGATCCAGGGTGCAGAAAAGTGAGGGTTCATGTAATGTAACCATGAATAGGTTGACAGATTAGTAGATCTATTTCCTGATTGTATGTGGCAACACAGAATATACAAGCATGGGAGTCCACCTAAAGCCAGAGCTGCTCTTGCTGTAAATCTCCCCTTTTTCTATAAAATATATATTATTTTTTTTTAGGAAAAAAAAGCACCCAAAGATTAAATGGATTTCTCACAAATTTCATTCTATGAAAGTTGCTAACCTAAGATGTTTTAGCCTATGGCTTAAACAAGATGGAGTTACCAACTACTTAATTCAGTAAATGTAAATTTCATTGGCCTCCTAAGACTGTAATTTTAAAACATCCTCTACTTACTCATCATTTGTTCTAATAAACAAACTAATTTTAGTTAATTTTAATAAATATAAATGTTTATAGATATTTATATTTGTTTAGAATATTTGTTTATGACTGGGGCATGTTTGTTTTAGATGGAAATTATGTAGAAATCTGCCTAGGGATTTTGAGAGCCCATCCCTTGTGAAGGGATGCTTTCTTGACCTGGACACATGGGGAAGGGCCTAGGCCTGGCCCAGGATGATGTGGTAGACTTTGGGGAGCCCCTTTTGAGGGCCTTACCCTGCCTGGGGAGTGAAGGGGGGATGGCTAGGGGCAGGTGGGATGTTGGGGGGAGGGGATGGAGAGGGAGAAGGGATTGACATCTGAAGCAAGCTTGTTCCTAATTTGAACTAATAAAATAAAATAAAATAAAATGTTTCCTTTGTGCAGCAATGAAATGAAGGAATGGAGCAAAAGTATATTGAAAATCAGAAAAGTATATCTCTATATAAGTGCATTTATAAAATGAATTTTCTTCTAAAACAGCAAACTTCTAGACAGCATTTCCCCACATCTCACAACACAATCCAGGTTACCCAGCCCTCCCCAAATGTTATAGCGGGATCCATGGAATTACATGGCATGCTCATTAAGTTTTTCAGTGCCAAGCTTCTATTAGATCTATAGAATCTAAATCTCCAGATGCGGTTTCCAGATATTGGCCAGGATGTGGAAACAGACAATAGGCAATAATCACCACTGTCTCTCCATTATTGGGTTAAAGGACAATGAATCTGGTGTTATTTTCAACTATTCGGAAGTTGCTGTTTAAGTTCCGGGCAGTGTACTTACTACAGTTGTCAGCTCTTCTGTTATCTCGGATCACTATTCTCTGGTTAATGGTGCTAAAGAGCGTTGTCCAGTTAATGGTATGATAATAACACAGGTTGCTGTTGTCAGTAATGTAGATGTTGCCCGCACTGATTTCCTTCAGAGACTGGAATTGCAGGGAAGTGATGCCTTGTTGTTTGAGGATAAGCAGTGATAGACCACTAAAAAGGAGAGAGGGGGAATGGGCTAATGAATAATTCATGAAATATACTGTAAAGTTCTATAAGGACATAGCATCTCATAACAAAAATAAAACTAATGGAGCATAAACAGAGAATGAATGGCCAATTCTGTGCTCAGATACACACTTAAATAATCATTTAACTCCCCAACTGCCAATGCTCATTTCTTATAATTATGAACACTGACAATATGTATATTTACCACTGAAATACGGACTTACTGCCTTATCTTGTCAGCCTAAATTTTGTGTTCCTCAACAATGAAATTCTATACTAAGAATAAATATTTATAGAATAAATACAAATATAAATAAGTTTTTATAGTTACACTGTAGAATGTTAATTCTACTATAACTATGTAAAAATAGAAATGATTTCATAGGGTAAATATTACAGAAAAAACATTGTAGCCTTTTAGATTTTGCTTATGAATTTCAGAAACCAAAAAATTATATCTGTTGAAAAAATGTATAAAAAAGTTTAGAAATAAAAAGTGTGATAAAAATCAAATTTTAAAATAAAAAATACCGAGGAAATTTAGATAGTTGGAAAAGAGTCTGAAACTTAATATACTCAAGACAAAAGAATGATCTACAAAAACTCCTGTTACAACATAGTCAACATTTAGTGTTCTCTACTTTCATAGTCTATTGCGTTTAAATTATACTTTCCACATCCCTGTATTTCAATCAACTAAGTGGTATTGATCTTACTTTGGCAGATACAAGTTCTAGTTTCACTAATAATTTTAAACACACTTAGCTTTAATATTTAGAACTGTTCTTAACAACAAAAACAAACAATGTTAAATCACAAAAATGGAGTCGTATTTATTCTGTTTTTTTTCCCTTCCTTCCTAAACAGCTGAGTAGTTGGCTACCATATAATTGTAATTCCTGGAGGGATGAATACTTTATTCAATGGATAATAAAACTTGTTTCATGTAGCACTTGAATAAATTTAAGTCCTAAGTATCCTTTTTATTATGTTCTTTTTAAACACTTTCTGTGATGTTTATGGGTTTCATTGTGGCATCTTCTTAAATACGTAGTGTTCTTTTACATTTCCTCAGAAATGTAAAAGAAACATAGAAAACATTATTTTCTATGTTTCCTCCACACTCACTTACTTGTCTACCTCTTCTTTTCAAATAGTCCCTATTGTAGTCATATATGTCTATTTATTTTTCTATCTATATCGATCAATAAATCGATCATCTATCTATCTCTATATCTATCTATCATCTATCTTTCTATTCTGTATTGAAGAAAATACAACGTTTGCCTTTTGGGGTACATTTTATTTTCTTTTGCATAATCCTCAGTATCATGCATTTCCTGTATATGACAAAAATGGTTATTCTTTCATATGGTAGGATTCTACGTCAGTGTATGTGAGGGGGTGGGTTTATAAAACTTTTGTTATTTCATAAATGAGTATCATATTTGCATAATCTCCACTCCAAACTTTACACATTTAATTCCTTGATACCATATCAACTTAATTCTTTTTATTTAAATATTATTTTAATGCATATATGCATATATATTCTTCCTAGTCCATTTAGTGTTGCTCACATATATATGTGTTTATAGTTGAACACATGGGATTTGATAACCTATTAGTGGCTCAACTCTTGCGAACAGTGATTTTCCCTCTCTCAGCAGCCATTGATTTTCCATGGTTGGGGAATAGATTTATTCTATCCACATTGGGATTTCCTACAATATCGTCTTCATATACATTTTATGTAGCCATCCACTATTGACAGGGCAAGCCATTCCCCAACTTGGTTATTGTACACAGTGCTTCAATAAATATAGATGTAAAGGCATCTCTGCTTAACAGTAACATTAGGGATATACTTAAGAAGTGTATTACCTGATTTTACAGTGCTAGTGTTTTGATGGTAGAGGAACCTAACAATGATTTCTCTTGTTGGTATACTAGTTTACATTTCCACTATCAATGTGGAATTCCGTTCTCCTCCATATTTGTTATCATTTAATACCTTTTATTTTCTCAGTGACATGACTGGAGTGATGGCACTAACTTCCATTTTTTCCCAATTGCATAAGGATGTTGAACATTTTTTTCAAGTATGCATTGATCATTTGTACTGCTTCTCAAAACTTAGAGCTATATCTGTTTTTTGTCTAAATAGTAAACTTTAACTGATACAATTTAAAACAAAACTTTTTAAAAATTACAGACTCATTAAAGGCTCATTTTGTCATAAATATAAGATATTGACATTAATATTTGCTAACAATATCCTTCTGACCTTTCCATTTATTACTCAATACTATAGAGAGTGGACCTACCCCAGTAACATCAACACAAGATGTAAGGCACAAAAATGGCATTACAGATACAGCTCTACCCTCCAGGTACAATATTCAATTCCCAAGCACCCAACACATTTACGAGCCTTGTAAGTATATACTTTAGTATATTAAAACCTGAAAATAAGGTACAGTTCTACAGGTCATATCACAGACTTCATACCTAAAAAATATTAATATCAGCACCAGCAAAAAGTCCTTAAAAATCAACTATGAATTCTGTGTGTTTCACATCACAACTGGAATTACTTCAGGAGTCCAATCTTTGGAATTAATCAGTAGATCAGTAAGGTGGATGTTTTTAACACTGAAGAACTTGTGATATCCCTCCTTGTATTTATGCAGCTTACAGCACTGAACACATTCACCCACCTGTAGAGGACTCGCCCTCCAATGGTGACAAGGTTGGAGAAAACACTGAAATCTGTCATGTTTGGAGGCCAGGATTGTATGTTCAGGAAACCTGTGAGGGGTTAGGAAAGTGAAGTAATACATGATATTACATTCCAATGAGAGTGCTAATTATTGTCCAAAGATGATGAAAATATATTGAGAGGTGGGTGAGAAGTAAGCAAAAGATAATGAAAACAACTGTCAAAACATCCATCATATACTTATTCTTTTATAATTAAGTATAATTTTATGAGTTTCTGGAGTAAATAATAAATAAATGGTTGATGTCAAAGCATGTGTTGTAGAATCCATGTTTCTAAGACTCAGGGAGTCATAAATGTGTGTGTGTCAAACATTGAAATAATAAAATTTACTGTGGTAGATACATACACAGAGAATTGTTATCCAATTAAGGAGAAAAATACAGTTCTATTTCTGCAAATTCCTTTACCATTTATCTACATACTATCATATCTGTTGTAGAATATTAGTTTAAGGTATGTTACTTCTATTAATGCTCTGGAACATTTGTTTAATGATGTAAAGATGTGTTGCTTTTGTTTATGCTGCATTTGTTTAAGTCTATGAAGCTATGATTTTTGACTGTCTAAAAAACTGATGGTCTATTAAAGAGTTGACTGGCCAATAGCAACACAGAAGAAAGAATAGGGAAGGAGGGGAGGAGAAAATGAGGGATCAGGAAGGTTAAGTTGGGGGAAAACAGAGTAGAGAAAGTAAGAGACACCTTAATACAGGGAACTGTGGTGGACTTAAAAAGAAACTTGGCACTATGGAAATTTCCAGGAATCCACTAGGATGACCCCAATTAAGAATCTAAGCAATAGTGGACAGACTACTTTAAATGCTTTTCCCCTGTAATGAGATTGATGACTACATTAAATGCCATCAGAGAGCCTACACCCAGTAGCTGATGGAAGCAGAAGCAGAGATTCACAGATAAACACTGAGCTGAACTCCTGGAATCTAGTTGTAGAGAAGGAGGAGTGATGAGCAAAGTGGTTAAAACCATACAGGGGAAACCCACAGAAACAGCTGACCTGAGCAAGTGGGAGTTCATGAACTCCAGACTGACAGCTGGGGAGCCTTCATAAGACTGAACCACACTCCCTGAAAGTGGGTTTCAGTTGAGGGGGGCTTGGGCAGTCTATGGGGCCTCTGGCAGTGTAACCAGTATTTATCCCTAGTGCATGAATGGACTTTGGGAGTACATTCCCTATGGAAGGATTCTCTCTCAGTCTAGATACAAGGGGGAGGGCCTAGGTCCTGCCCCAAATGTGACAGACTTTGATGATTCCCCCATAGGAGGCCTCATCCTCCCTGAGTAGTGTTTGGGGGATTGGGATAGGAAATGGTGGGGGGAATGGGAGGGCGCGAGGGAGAGGCAGCTGGGATTGGTATGTAAAATTAGATTGTTTTAATTTAAATAAAAATTAATTAATAAAATAGAGGCAAAGAGTAAGAGCAAAGAAACAACAGCAACAACACATATCTGTATTTATTTAGAAATCTAAGCTATTTGTGTTTAGCCCTAACCTATCACATCAGGTTTTATTTTCTGTGATTTCAACTTCAAGTTTGATTCATATTTATGAACACATAAGAGTTATTAAATAGATTTTAAAATAGTGAATGCTCAAAAAATACCATCCCAAATGAGTGCTATATATTCTCTGTGTTAAACTGCAATTCTTATGAGAAAATAAACTGCAAAACAAGTATTGAAGCATCATAGATCTTTTCGAATTTGTAAACACGCTATTAACAATATTCAAAGTTTATGTAATTCTACAGGTTTCAAAATACAAAAGCTAATGAGTGTTCACAATCATGTAAGATTTTACAAAATAGAACTTCTCTGGAAAATTTATTATCTATCATAAATATTATATAATTATTTCATGAAAAATGGTCACATAACTTGTGGCAAGATATATATACATGCATGCATGCATACATACATACATACATACATACATACATACATACATACATATTTAAGTACCTGTTATTTCTCTGACTGTCCGGAAGACATTCAGCTTCTCTGGGTCTATGGCTTCAATTGCATTGTAAGGGTCCCTAGAAAATCAAGAAGAGATGCAGACTAATTTAAACTGATTATTTTAGAAGAGGAAATATTTTGCTCCCATCTAAGTAATATATATTATTTAAGAATTTAACAAATTTCTCAGTATGAAACATATACATTTTGAATATTTCTGAAGTACTCTTTCCTTATGAAAAATGCTTTGAAATTCAGTGTGTGATATATTCCAAGGTTGTCACTTAAAAACAGCTAACAGATTATTTTCAGTTTTCATCTTCCAAAAATATTTTAGGTAAATATTGGACATTCAAAACAATTCTGTACTTAAATTTTAAGCCCAACATAATACCAAATTATCTCAGTAATTAAAGTAATACAAGTAATTTGAGGAACATATAGCATTTATTTAATAATTTATTATCTTAAAAGGATCTCTGGGATGTCTGAATAATTCATATTTTCATGGAAATGTTAAATATTATGCACTGATAACTTTTCTGTGAGATACTGAACTTTCTAAGAAGAATGAACTTCAGCTTTTCTAGAAGTATGTAGCACTAAAATGAGTTTTATTCTTCTGGTGAACACTTATCCTGTGTAACCATTTGTGAGAACTTGCTAATTTTTGTGTGGAAAACACAGAATACAGTAATTTCTTTATGCAATCTTAATAGGGTTATGAACCAAGTTACTTTATAATACCACTACAAAACCAGTAGACATATGGCATAGCTGCTGGAAATGAAGTCTAAATCCATGGAAAAATGGATTTAAAAGATCTTTAGTTTCAGCTACTAAGAGTTTCAGGTGGAACTCTCAAACCCCCTGACATTTGCTTTCTGAACTTGGTTCATCAGCATATTGTCCCACACTGTGGACCATATCACCTCTTTATAAAAGGCTTTGCTTTATTAAATTACTTTTCAAACTAAGAAATGCAATCAATGCAATGTACTCCTAGTTTAATGTGCATTGCTGTAGGAAGCTCTGGCGCTAGGTACTGCTGAGACTGAGAAACTAAAGGGACATTTTTCTATAACTCAAAAAAAAAAACCCTATTGATCATGGATATTCTCAGTGTCATATGAATATCTCTTAAAAGCTTAAAGCCTACATATAAAGTTCTCAAAAAGTTGAACTTTCCATAGGGGGTTTTCAAAGTCTGTCATATCCTTTGGGATAGGGCCTAGGCCAACCCCCTTGTGTCTAGGCTCAGGGAGTATCCCTCCATGTGGGAAGGGCTCCTAAAGTCCTTG